GTCCCCCTGCCCTTATTCGCGTTCGAATTGTTGATTCTACCTCTTCCTGGCGATGTCTGACTATTTTGATCGGCGTCAGCAAAATTACCGAGGCTCGTTACACCACAAAACTTCGCGTGAATAATGTGACATGTGGCGATTCATTCCGCGTGGACGCCGCAGTATGCACGCTAAAGTCTGATTCCCATGATGCGATTTCGCTCGCAATTTTCAGTCGCGACGCCACTCGGGCTGCAAAAGCCTGAACCGTGGCTGAGATGGTCGACGTCGATACTGAAAATCGCAAGCAGAATCGGACCAAGTGAATTAGGGATAACAAGTTGGTGATGGTCACTGGTAACAATGTTCAACATCTCCTTGTATCTACTGCTTACATCGAGCCTGCTTACCAACCTTCAAATTTAAGTCTTTTGAGGCCTGCACTTACTTCTTATCGCAAGTACCAGGCCAACATTTGGTCTATATATTCGGGCAGGCGTCGTCTAAGAGAGCAGACGTCAAGCAGAAACGTTTGAAAAAGTAGACGACAGTTTGAACGATCAGGCGGCCGTTTGAACTTGAAGACGCACTGAACGTAGCCCGCAGGTGGTCCGCACAACTTGACGGTTTTCTGGCGTTCATGTTGGAACTGAACAAATAAATCTGATGACCACAAGTATTCGTGAATTCAACCCACAGTGCTTTCCGCCCAAGCAATCGTTGTCCGACGGCGTCTACTTTTCCCTTTTCTCGGCACATATCCAGATTCTCGGACGAACTGAGCACGTGAAAACTGACCTTTAAACCTTTCTCGACACTTTTGGTACGGCTGCGTTTTGACGAGAAGACAGGTTTATGTCTGGTTCCTTTCAAAACAACGCAGGAATACACGTTTGGCATGAGAACTTTTGCCCACAGCCCCAGACCGGAAGTGCGACAGACGCGCCACCACCGCGCCGTGACGTCACAGAGTTCAGTTCGTGTATAGTCGTCTTATCGCCGAACAGCCTAAAGATACAACTTCTCAGCAATGTGGACCTCTATGAAGAAAACGATGTTTTTCGTCGATCGAAGAACTAGGAACTTTGTAGCTTACTGTAGCCATTCATACATATCGCACTTGTCAATTCCGCAAATTCAGATTTTAAAGGAGGGGGGGGGGGGGGGGGGGGGTTACCAAAATACAGTGATGTATCGTTAATATGGGCACCTCCGTTCCCTTAAAAAAACTCGTCCACAATGTGAGTTGTCCCTATTAACGAGACAAAAATACGTGTATTTCCACAGTTTCCTCCGAAATGGTGTCCATATAACGGGGTATCCAGATTAATGGGGTTCATATAAGCGAGACATTACTGTATAAATATTTAAAAAAGACACCTAATTGCAAAACAGGGTATTGTTTTTTCTCTTTTTTTTTTAGGCAGTTAAGTTTATTTTTTGCTTTGTGCATGCGAAGAGCAAGGTTTTGAGGAGTGAAGCACCTGTGGGGTGGCATGACGTGAATCTTGTATGAATTATTAAAACAACGCTTTGAGAAGTGCCAGTAAATAGCAGTGTGTACCTTATAAAGGCCCGTTCCAGCTGTTATTGTGCACCTGTGTACCGAACCGCTTCTTTTCTTATAATTTGTTTGTTTTATTAAACTCATAGAATGAGTTGAAACTGTAAACATTCTGGTTGTTAGTCACCTGCCGCGTCCCACGCCCAAGCACTATTGGCTTATGTGAGCACAGAGCGAAATGTATTAAAAAAAAATTGTACTGTTTTGTATTGTATCGTACATTCAAAACGAGCGTGCAAAACAAACCATTTCGTTTTTTATATATATATGTCTTTAGACTAGATATGTCTCGCTTTTTTAGGAACATATTTTTGCAATTAGGAAAAATTATTTTAAGTTTTGTTCCGGGGTATTTGTTTTTTAATCGCATTATAAAAATTATATTTTTAGATTTGAACGCTCCTGGCCTCGTCTATCTACAAAGCAGCGGTTTCTTTGTATTTTTTTTTTTCTTTTCAAGTAAAAGAAGCATTGCCCGCCGGAATTTACGGCACGACCTAGTGTCCTTTGGAACTGCGAATACCTCCCCTTTCTCTGATTCTTGCGGGAGCGCCGCCAAAAAACAAACCAACCAAAATAAAATAAGGAAAAGAAGTCTGCCAAGCAAATTTGTTTGCGGCCCTGATCCGCGAAGAGCCGCTTGAAAGAGCCGTCCTTGCGTTTCAAGACCTTGTGTTGGTTGAAAGACCTCCGTTCCCTGCTTGGGTTTCCTCGTCGTGTTTTCAAGTCGAAGCTCTTCCCAGCGATCCTGTGCTAATTTTGTTCTTGTAAGTGCACATTCCGAAAGCTCTAGTTCTGGAAGGAAACTCAAAAATAGCACAGCTGAAAGAGGCCGTAAAATTGCTTTACCTTTACTTTCACTAAATGCAGCTCCGACCTTGTGTCGTGCACTTAACTTCCTTGATATATATATATATATATATATACCAACTTGCTCAAGTTATTGCCTTGCTGCAGAACCCTTGATATACGTACACTTCAAAGCGTGCATTAGATTTTCTTCCTGTGCACTATGGCAACCGAAAGGGGAAAAAAAACAGCGTTCACCGTTTCAACCAAGTTTTAGAACAAGCGGCCACCTGATCTGGTGCTGATCATACGCTGTAAAGGTTGAACACAGACACGCACTGCGGTAGGCAAATGCAAAGACCATTCCCGTCACCGCAGCAATTCTTCACAAAAGAAGGTGGACAAAAAAAAGCACGCTTCTTTCTAAATCAGATATGTTTTATTTAACTCAGAGTTTATTGATTCATATTAGATTAATTTAATTTAAATCCCTGCATCTAAGGAATTCTGAGTTTATTGTCAGATGCCTTTCTAAGCGCGCGAGATTGATCGTCAATCCGTTCGATCACTAGAAACAATACGAAAGGAATATTGCTGTAAATTTAAAGTACAGTCGAATTAACAGCTTGTCTTTCACGCCCCGCTATATGCTAAAACGCCAGCTTTATTTACCTTTATTTATTTATTTTTTTTCGTTACGATTTGCTTGCAATAGGACATTATGTAACAGACCAACAGAATTGAAGATAGAAAGCAAAGTTCAATGTTTCTCATTTGCTCAGAAAATCACCAGATATTGACTGTGTTCGGGAGATATAAGTATTTATTTCTCGATGATTATTTAATTTAAATACAAAACAAACCCCCAGAGGAAGCTTGAAATGATAAACAATGGTAAATAAAAAAAATATGGGTTATGAATGCGGAAAACGTTCGGTTTAAATAACCATAACAAAACAAGATTGAGTTAAATCACAATTCAAATCATGATTTCAATTATATTAATTTTTAGTTCGATTGAAAAAATAAACATGTAGGACAAAGGTGACACAACCACATCCCTCAACTAGCAACGGACGTATATAGGAATTGCAAAAGCGAGCAACCGATTAAAATTGGGAAAATAGAGGAAAGGGAAAGTAACTATGAAGAGAAGAAGGAGGGAAGAGGACGATACGATCAAATGCATGCAAGGTCCGGTCGACAGAGCCATCCCTGATTTGAGAAATTCAACTTCAGACTTCGGCAGAAACAATCAGGGATTAGAAACGTTGTTGCTTCGCGCTGTTCGTGGCGAATAACTTAATAATCTTCGGGTCGTATCCATTGCTATGCCCCCCCTCCCCCGAGATTCTTGTTTCGTCAAAACGGGGCCTGCAGTCTCTGCAGGAACGGGCGTGCATGACTATAGGATGTTCGGAATCAGGTGACGCCTTGGAACACCCCCCCCCCCCTCCCCCTTTTTCAGTGCGTAATGTTCCCAGAATGTTTGATTTGTCCACCTGCCGGTCTGACCTGTGTATTGACCCCCGCAGCCCGACGGAATGGAGTACACCTTCTTCTCTTTGCAAGGCGGGAACTTCTTTTCGTGTTTGGCGGTTCTTTTTTTATTCCATTAGTAAAAGTAGAATTCGTCATGCTCATGAGGTCTTGGTGAGGGTTTAGACAATCGTGGAAAGTCGACCCCAGCGACGCTTTTGGTCGTGCATACGTCGCCAATAGATGTTATCTCCTCGGCCATGACTACCATTTAAACGCTTTCGTGCGTGTTTCGCTTGACGCGCGACACTCAATTAGAGCGACGATGATACCATTTCGCCTCATCACGTCATCGTTCCAACGTCTACACTAGCGGAGCAAACAAACAAAACAAAGGAGAAACTGGCGGCCGCTCGTGCTGTCACGAGGCGATTTGGAAACATCTGCAGCGTTTACGTTAGTGGAGCGGAACTCCCATTAGGTTCCGACTTTCTGCGTTGCGCGTACGAATGAGACGCAAAGGAAAAAAAGAAAAATGGAGCTCATGGTCACATACAGTCACGAACGAAGATAGACTCAGCTGTGCGAATCCCGTAGCGTCGGCTGGAACGCGCTTCGCTCGAGGAGTGTACGGAATGGGCGCTCTATATATGGCATCCACATGCCGTCTTTTACGGATTATAGTCCGCGCATTAAGCATGTTCGAGAGTTGAAGTTCCACGCGTTGCTAACTATCTGTACAAACGCGGACTAAACCAGAATTTTTTTTTTCTAGATCGTTTCCTTTTGACGGAATTATTAAGAATTATTATAATGTACGCTAGAGGTTCAACTGGCGCTAGTGTCTATGCGACTTCCGGGAGGCAAATTGAAGCAGACAGCAACCAGTCTACTTTTAGCGGTGCTCCTGTACATTCATATGGGAAAACGCGGGTGCATTTTGTCTCTTCGCCGGAAGTTTATTTATTTATTTATTTACATACCTCTAAAGGCTCCAAAGGAGCATTACATAGAGGGGGGTGTCGTATAAACTTTTACATAATCATACAATATTTTACAAGAAAAAATAGAAGACATCGTGTCACGCTAAACAGAACCATGAAGGGAAGACATTACATAACAAAAAAGCCACACACGCACTCACATCATTGGAGGCCGTCGACGTGCTAGAAAAAAAGCAATAGACCCAGCGAGGAAGTAACAAACATACAGGGCAATATATGATTCACTACCCTAAAGATTCACGCAATAACAACATAAATGTATCATGATCAGTGACCGTCGCAATTTCGCTTGCCAACTCATTCCATTCAGTCGCCGCTTGTACGAACGGGGAGTATTTGAACAGATTAGTTCTTGCAAATGGAATATGAACTTTGTAACAATGATCATGACGAGGGGAAATGCGAGCCGGTGGGAGAATGTTGTTTTGACGGAAATCTGAGGAACTGTGATAGAGTTTATGAAAATGGGATAACCTTGCGAGGTATCTTCGCTGGTGGAGAGTCAATAAACCAAGTGAACTCTTAAGTTGACTGACGCTTATAGGTGAATACGTTTTTAGTATAAACCTGGTGGCCCTGTTTTGTAATGATTCTAAATTATTAATTAAATATTTTTGATGCGGGTTCCAAATTATAGCTGCATATTCCAACTTGGGCCTAATGAGGGTAGAGTATGCAAGTAGCTTCGTTTCTGCTGTTGCCATATATAAATGCCTTCTTAAGAAACCAAGTGACCGGTTAGCCCTCCTAAGGATATAATCTAGATGAGTGTTCCAGGAGAGGTTGGAAGTTAAGTGGACTCCTAAATATTTATATGTGGATACTTTATCCAATTTTGAATCTATAACTTTGTAGTCGTATTGAAAAGATGAGCGACGATTGGTAAATGTCATTATTTTTGTTTTATCTATATTTATCTGCATTTGCCACGTGTCACACCATGAAAGTATGATATCCAAATCACTTTGAAGGGCCAGGCAGTCGCTTTGACTAGATATTTGACGGTATACCACACAGTCGTCTGCAAATAGGCGAATCTTTGAAGAAATGTTGTTGGGGAGGTCATTTATATAAATTAAAAACAAAAGTGGTCCAATTACGGATCCTTGAGGGACACCAGATTTGACATGTATAGGTGGTGAGGTGATGTCATTTGCAAGTACTGATTGTTTTCTATCGTGCAAAAACTCACGAATCCATGTAATTACCTTATCATTAATTTTGAGATATTGTAGTTTTTTTATCAGACGACTGTGTGGTACACGATCAAAGGCCTTCGAAAAGTCTATAAAAATAGCGTCGATTTGTGAGGATGAGTGAATACAGGTATGCAAATCCGTTACCAGTTCAAACAGTTGGGTTTCACACGAAAGACCACGTTGAAAGCCGTGCTGATTGGGAAATAGCAGGTTGTTTGAGACTAAGTGTTTCATGACAGATGAATATATTATATGTTCTAAAAGTTTACAAGGAACAGAGGTCAATGAAATTGGTCTATAATTTGTGGGGCAATTCCGATTACCAGATTTATAAATCGGCACGACATTTGCTGATTTCCATTCGTTCGGAATGTGGCCAGTATTAAGCGATTGCTGGAATAAGCTGGCAAGCACGGCACCTGATACATCCTTTGTTAGTTTAAGTAGCTTCGAGCATACACCATCAGTACCCGGGCTGGATTTTGTCGGCAAGCGGTTAATGGCACTGATAACACCATCAATATTGATTTGCACATCGTCCATTTCTGGAATGACGATTGTAGGTGTAACAGGGCGGTCAGATAAAGGGAGCTCGTCGGTAAACACTTCGCCAAAAAATGTGTCAAGTTTAAAAGCGGACTCGGATGCAGAAAGCTTTACGTCACCTTCTTGAATTAAAGGAAATGTATTTTTTTTCTTTGGGGTTTACGACTTGCCAGAACTTCTTTGGATTTGTTTTTAGTATGCTAGATAAATCGTCGTTGAAAAAACTATTCTTTGTCTTTCTTATCTCATTTTTGCATAAGCGCGCACAATCTTCGTACGACTGCCAGTCACGGTCTGAATTTGAAGAACTGGCCTTTCTGAAATGTCTCTTCTTTTTGGAGATCAAGCGTTTTACGCTTCGTGAAAACCAGGGACAACCCTCACTCGGGTTAATGATTAACTTAGGAACAAAAGCTTCACGTATATAGATTAGTTTGTTTTTTATTGAAACCCAGTTTTCTTCAACAGAGCGTGTATGGAAGGTGCTTTCATACTGAATCAAAAAGTCTGACAGTGTTACCGCAATATCACTATGATTTGCCTTAGAGTAGTCATATATCACTTTTTTTAGGTTCACTCTCGTAACATCCGATATCTTATAGCAGAAATAAACAATTCTATGGTCGCTAATTTCATCCAGCACGCGTACAGACATGTTTTCGGGGTGAGTGGCACAAACAAGGTCCAGTACTGCATCTCCGCGTGTGGGATCATTTACCAATTGTTTCATTGAAAATGAATCTAAAAGATTTATAAAACTTAAACACTCTTCTACACGTGAGCAAATATTACGTACTTGGAGGTTGGACCAATCGATCCCAGGATAATTAAAATCACCTGCCAATATAAGTGGTAAATGTGGATACTTGAAATGAATAAATTCTAGAATATCTGTTAGTCTGTTGACAAATTCACATGTTGAATCAGGTGGTCGGTAACAAATTCCAACTATAATATTCTGAAAGGATACGGTACCAATGGAAACCCAAAGGGTTTCAAGAGGAGAGTCGATTGAAATCAGAGTGCAAGATATGTCCTTTCGAACTGCGATGATTACGCCACCGCCTCGTTTGGAAATTCGGTCCTTACGAAATATGTTAAAATTGTCGCTTAAAAGTAAACTGGAATTTGAAATAGTATCGGCAAGCCACGTTTCGGTTGCAACAATAACATCTGCTGAGCATGAAATAATGCTGCTTGCGAGGTCATCCTGTTTTGGCAGAAGGCTTCTAAAGTTTGCTAGCAAAAATGAGAGAGGGCGGTGCTGATTGCAGGCGCTCACAGTTGTTCTAGGTTTGGATTTATATTTTTTGTGGCACGATTGTAGATCCCGTGGCGCGTCTGCAGTTCTCTGTTCCCTCGAGGCAGGCAAAACACTATCGGTTTCGTCGCAGTAAACATACATCTGATTGTTGATAAAGAGCTTATCAAAAGCAAGGTTTACCCCATCGCGCGTGGTTCGGACCGATTTTGCATAATCCCAAAGTTTTTTTCGAATTTTCCTCACTTTTGGCGAATAGTCTTCCTCTATCCAAACTCGCGGGGTGTCAGTCGACCTTAGTCGCGATGCGCCATGGAGCACATCGCGCTTGCTCTTGAAACTTAGGAACTTAACAATAATTGGTCTGTTAAAACCTTCCCTTTTGCGGCCAACACGATGCGCCCTTTCTATATCGCCGACGTTTAGCTGCAACCGGTCCGAAAAGAAGGAAAGTGCGATTCGTTCAGTCTGAGCCCACGATTCGTTTCCCTCCTCAGGAATCCCTTTAATCAGCAAGTTATTTCTTCTCATTTGGTTGTTCATGTTGTCGACGATGTCACTTAAGCCACTTACGTCCTGCTGTTTCGAGGATACGTCTTCAATTTTTCTTTCAATCTCGGTGACAACATCATTTGTTTTTTTAATTTCGTTTTGCACTTCCTTAATCTTGCCAACGGAGCTCTCGAGACTTGAAACTCTGCGTGTCAAGTCACCGATTCCCAACGACAGTTCATTTAGTTTGTCAGTGGTCTCTTTTTGATGTCTCGCATTGTCAGAAATAACAGTGTTCAGTTTCTGAAGTATTAGGTCAAGCTTAGAGCTATCGCCCTCTTTAGGGCCGGGGCCGGGGTTAGCTTCGATGTCACCAGAACACATGAGCAATTTGGCGATGCAGAGAGTGAGCAACAGGATACGAGCACTTGGAAAAGCCCTGCGCAATAATAAGGCACCACTTTGTTAGGTAGTTGTTAAAGGTAGTTAACGCGCAAAATCTTTTGTAATTTGGGTCGTACCGAATAGTATGTACCTTTATTAACATTTTAAAAGTGTATCTTTTGCTTTAGTTGGCGCTTTTTTTTTTCGTCAGTGAACGATGTTTAATTTCGCTATATTTCAGGCCCAAACCTCTGTTCCGCAGCAGGTGTGTAAAAACTAGTGATGGGTGGAACTTTTACCGAATCGAAAGTTCGGTGCCGAATCTTGGGATTCGGCAAAGTCGAACTTTCGCCGAACTTTTCTAAAGATTCGGCAAAGGTTCGGCAAAAATACATTGTTACCAGACTCGTTGATATTTCTTTTTTTTCTAACGACAAAAAGGTTTTATGTTTCTTTCTTTCTTAACTTAAATGCAACATGTTTTCTAAATAAGGTGATATTTTGCAAGATAATTGTATCGGTGTCGTTTTTGTGTGTTTACGGGCAATTTTAGTGACTCCTTGCAGAAGTGGTGACAACGAGGTTGGGTAGAAGCGAGCGTAGCACACTCACGAATCACGCTACGAGAGTTTCGGTTTTGAGGCATCATCAGCGCAAGCCTGCATGTGTGTGTACATTGCTAAAATGAAGGCAATAACGCTACGTTCTTGCTTTCTCTGAGAGTCACCGGAAGTCACCGTTCTGTGCGCGAAAACGAATGTAACGGTTGCTGAGCCTTCACCGGAAGATAGAATAATAGCATCGTAAATATGCATGTTCTTCGATTTCAGTCACTTGACGTCAGCTTTGCGTGAAAGTGCGCGTCCCATATTCGCAACGTCTAGTTTTTAACGTTCAAAATGCCCGTTTCTGGTGTTAGGACACACACGAACGTTTCGGAAGATGGGGAGAGTTAGGAATGTCGGATGTGCAACGTCGAGTAGTTTAGTCCTGTGTTTAGTTTTATGCAGATACATGGAAAATCGCAAAATAACACTAATTGAAAAAGCAATATTATTTTGTTTTGGAACACACCACTCCTGAGCCGAAAACAGAATTGTTATTATTGCGAGGAGTGCTTAAAGTAATTGTCGGCCAATGTCTCAATGTTTCAGAATGCACCGCATCATTTGTCACTTGCGCAGTGGACTGCGTAAATTACTGGTCGAACTTCTGTTCTTGAGGCAGAAGATATTGAAGAGAACCACACTCGCTCACAAACGCACAGTTACCGTGTTGCCTACCCCACACAGCACCGTAACCGCTCGTTGTACTACACTGCACGGTGGTAACCGTTAAAGCCCCTTGATAAAAGCGTTTTTTACAAGTACCGCCAACCATTGTTGTGGAAGCGCTCGAGACACGTGCCATGAGCGGGTGCTCCGCCGCCATTTGCTTCCAAGGGCCGCTCGAGACATGGGCCTCGTGCACTCGCGCATTTGACGCTACTTGCAAGATAAGCGCAAACACATAGAGGGGCTTTAGTAACCGTAGGTCTGCACGGCGTTCATTTGCAAACCAAGGCTCCGTCGCGTTCTCGCGCGTGCGCAGACATTTGCCGAATTTTCGCCGCATCTTTGCCGAACTTTCCTTTAAAAGTTCGGCATTTGCCGAAGTTTGCCGAATCTGAAGTTCGGCAGATTCGGTCCATCACTAGTAAAAACAAGCGAGGATTCTAAACAAAATAACGGTCGAAAGGAATATAGAGTGTGTTCAAGGCTCGCCAGCATTCCGGTGACGCTTATATATTGCTGATACGCCAGTCCTGACACTATAAACACTTGACAGTCACAAATTTTTAGGGGCCTGTAGAGGGGGTGTAAGGAAGGGGAATGTAGACTTGTATGTGATTTGCGTAGAAAATTCGGGGGGGGGGGGGGGGGGGGGGTTAGGCTCAACCTGGGGGTGTTCAGGGGGTGTTGGAGGGAGGGGGGTCTGTATAAATTGCTGGCGTACGCGCCAGATTGCAGCCGCCATGGCTGACCTTCTATTGTCTTAGCCAGATGCCGAGCCACTGAAGCGGGCGTTGACGAGCTGCACAATGGCCAATGCTGGAGAAGACACAGTGGTATCTAAAATGGCAACTGAAGGTCGGTAATGGCGGCGTCCATGCACAGCTGCTGCAAAGCGTCTATATGAAAATTACCCCATCTTGCATCTTTACGAGCGGTTAAAAACATTCAAAACGTAAAGGATAAACTGTGTAGGCTATGAACGGTGTCTCTATTTATCATGTCGTACGCCGGGCAGCTTTTATGAGGCACTTGTTCTCAAAGATTTCGAGCGTGCGTGGGATGTTTTCAAAGTAGAACAAGCATCTTCGCACAAAGCAGAAAGAATGAAGCGGTACTTACTTATTTAAAATCGGAATATATAATGTGGCCTTCAAATTGTTTTTTATCGTACATGCAGGTGTAGTTACTGATATAGTGTTACTGCGTAGTTCTGGCCGTCTTTCTTGGTTTTTTAGATGTTCTTTGATTTGGCACGTATATCCCCACGTCGTGTTCGCGCTAACAGTGTCCGACAGCGCACAGAAATACATGCACGAAGCTGTTTTAGCACCGTTTTCAATCCAATGAATTGGAAAGAAAAACGCCCTAACTGATCAATTATTTCGTCTGCCTGCCTAAATTATTCGGGGTATTTGCTCTCATAATCGAGCGCAAGGAGAAATTCACTCGCTTTTTTCCATAGAAATGCATTACCGGAAGTCAATTTTCGACTGGTTGCTGTCTGCTTCAGTTTGCCGCAGCATACTAGCGCCATTTGAACCTCTAGCGTACCGCAAACGCGGCCCTCGGTGCACAACGCCACATTCGATTGGCAAGTGCAGCCTACCTACAAACACAACCGGAAGTACATTTCCTCGCGCTTCTCCGCACCGCGCTACAATTCGCTGCGCCGGTACACAGGTTCGAACGGGGTAAATTGAACGAGTCCATTAGTGTGTCCGTGATGAGCTATATGGATGAGTCAGACTTGCAAGGTTCTCATTACAAGCAGTCAAATTACTCGTAATCGATTACTTTTTGTACTAATTTTGTAACTAACTCGATCACTTTTATTCCGAAGTAATCACTAGAGTAATTTGACTACTTTTTAGTATTTTTTAATCATTTGATTACTTTTATTAGAAAGTGCTCACAAAAGTACTCCCCGATTACTTCAGGGAGTACTAAAATAACTTGTGACCGTTACTATTTTTTTACTTCCCCCTCTAATGGCGCCCTTTGGTTGTGCACGTTTCCTACCAAGAAATTCTCGGACCAAGTCGCCGACAGGAAAAGGGAGCGCAAATTCGTCTGTTTCTTGTGCAGGAGTTGTGGTGACGTCAGAACGGCGGGCTCTGATTGGAAGGATAGTGTGTAGACCTCAAAGCAAGCTGCCTTGACATTTACCCACTATCCCTCCATCAGAGCCATTCAGAGCTCGGCGTCGTTCTGACTAGTGCCACTAAATAAGCTACGCTTCAGAGTAACGACACTTGGCCATATTGTGTCGTAAAATCATGGTTGCCAGTTATCTGAAGCTTTATCGGAAATCACAGGAAATGCTTTTCCGCCCTCCACAAATGTTTAAACCGTCCGCGACAGAGCAAAGCAATAATACATGACCTTCCTATCACCGAATCTAATGCTGAGGAAGTCGCATTTTTGAATCATGAGGATCGGCCGTTGCGTCTGTTCTGCATACGAGCCAAAATGGCGGCGCCCACAACAATGTCGTGGAACAGAGTGCCGATACTCTAAGCGCCGCTTATTTAGTGGCTCTAGTTCTGACGTTAAAAGAAGCAGACGAACTTGCGCTCCACCTAACGGGCAGCACAAAAGACCCATTTTCGAGCCGGCAGACAAATCTGTTGTTTTGAAAATAGGAAGTAATCGGAACAGTAACGGTTTTTTTTTTTTTTTTTTTTTTTCGAGTAACGAGCAATTATTTTTCTTCTCGAGCAATGAAGAAATCCAAGACATTTTAAGCGAGAGTAATTCTTATTGTACTTGATTACTTTCTTCGGATATCGTCCACGAGACATGAGAACTTTTTTTTAGATGCGGACTAGGCTCCGAGGGCGGACTATGTAAGCAAAATGTTTTTGTTTTGTTTTGTTTGTTTGTTTGTTTGTTTGTTGTCAAAATTTCCGTTTGCGAACTGTATACCTGGCGCGGAATATGGAATACGCCCGACTTTTTGGTTCCGTGCATTATAGTCGGTCGTTGTATATAGCGCCGTGAGGGCCGCGTCCCCCACTGAACGACAAACAACAAATACTGCTCGGACACATGCGAACGAATGGAAGCTCGGGCCTGTTGGTAAGGCACGATTATTTAAAACGTACAGTGAAAAAGACGGGACGGAAGAAAGGAGACAAACAACCGCTGAGTTTGTCGCACACAACGACCAACTCGGCGGTTGTTCGTGGATATGCAAAAAATCGAGTCTGTCGGTTGTGAGACAATGAAGGGCCTGAGTTAATGTGTCATGTGGGATCTTCGATTCTTCGTTGGTGCCAGCCTCTAAGAAGACGTCGTGATGTTTGTACAATAATACACCAAAATATATATACTAATACTTTGTTCTTGGTTACGGCTGTGTGGCGACCTGAAAGCACTTACGCAAGTTGTAGAAAGGTGTTGAGTTCATCCACGCGCTAAAAAGGATCTACTAAAAAAGCAAAAAGTCAGCGTCAAAGTTTAATTATTTTCAATTGAGAAATATTTGTGAGTTTTAACTTTTACTTGACCTTTCAGGGTTTCCCACCATGATTCTCGTGCGGACTAGAAAATTTGCAAATACCTATTGTTGTTGTTGTTGTTTTCAATTCGGAAATAAAAAGAAATTACAGCCAGATTTTTTGGGATGTCATGTTACGCCTGCGTCCTACTTTGCACATTTTGTATATTTGCTTAATTTAGCTGCACGTTAAACTGCGCTTGTTGGAAGCTAGGCCAATACGTACACGTAATATGACCTCTACCCGGGAAAAATTACGTAGAAGAGTCAAACGTCATACGTACCTCGGCTGCCCCTCCGTTGTCCAAGACCTGCAGATGATCTTGTGGCCGTCTGCGTTGCGAAACGAGCTGTTGTCATCTGCTAGAAAGCCGATGGACGCTGTCATCGTGGACCAGGATTTCTTGTGCCGATTGCCGATCCGTGACAGCATGGAAACGCAAACCACTCGACAGGGATCCACAACCTCACGACCGTCGTCTTCTTTGCACAGATCACCGCAGATGTTTCTCACATTCGTTGACAGCAAACCCCGTGGAATCCGACTTGCTCGACAGAAAAGCGTCTGCTAGCCGCTCTCGTCGTCTGCTATCCGTCGTCTGCTGTCTCACCAAGTTCGTTCGAACAAAATCAAACGTACAGCGAACGGGCACATGGAATGTGCTGCTGCTCACTTGCGTATAAAAGCTGTCCTTACAATTTCTTTTTTGTCCGTTTACGATAGTTATCCGAGGTGACAAGGCTGCACCGTAACACTGTTTGCACCCCTCGCGAACGGGGATACGATGCCAAGTGCGCTGGAAGCGGACGGCGCGCACAGTTCTTGAAAAAAAGAAAAACAGCCTCGACAAAGCGAGCGCACCTCGCGAGGTGCGTTCGCTTTGTCGGATCGGAAGAGCCGAACGTGGAAGGAACGTGGCGTCATGCCATGACGTCACGAGCTCGTTTCTGACGCCGGTCTCGTCCCGCTCTTTTTACGCTTGAACAAGTGTGCCTAGATTTCAGAGTGTTTCCAAGTGCCCGATCGGGTCACGTGTTTCATGAGCCGCGTTTGCAATACAAGCTGCGAAGAGGTGTACGAGAGCATCGCTCCCCAGTGCAAGCAATTCCAACACCTCTCCGGACGCTCTCCCCCTCGCAAGGCAACAACGAAACGCATGCGCACTTGTTATCAATTAGCCCAGGAGGCGTCCGCCATTAAGTTACAAACGCTCTTTATGGTTCGAATTGCTTCCTCTCTCAAATCTATAGGCTCTCTTCGCTCAGTTAGCAGACGTCGCGTCAGCAGCGCTGGCAGACGATAGCGTTATGGCGTCCTTGCGCCATAATAAGCCGACTAATCTGCAAAACTGATTCGTTGTAGATGCTCGGCTTACACCAGTGCGCCGCCTGCACTTTCTGATCAGTGTGGTGTTGTATTTTCGTGGTTCTGGCAGCGCGCTTTTGCGGCTTTACTCGTCGTCTGAATTAATTTGTTTACGCCAGTTCGCGATCTTCGTGACAGGGAAGCAAAAGGGCCTTGCATCGAAATGAAGCCGCGAAGATCCCCGCGCAATTCCCGCGTCTTGTTGCGAGGTTCTCGTTCCGTTCCAGTAGCCCTCGCTGTGTGCTCGCCTAAAGTAAGATACATAGAGTGAAGTCGCATATTATTCATCGCTGTACACGGCAAGGCTGACGTTTGGGACCAGTAGGATATGTACAGGGTGTCACAAAAGAAAATTTACAGAGTTTTTTTCAACACAAAATTGAACTAGTCATTGCCGAACGCTCATTCTTCGCCCAAAGCTAGCGCTAGAGGTCACAACCAGATGCCAAGGTTTCAGCTCGATCTGATAACTTAATCGAAAGTCATAAGTGATTTTCTGAAAATTTCAATGGGAAAATGGAGCCCATTTTTGCCCGTTTTCGGTTCCTGGTGCCCATAGAGCCCCATCCATGTATTCGAAAACTCCGTCGGCCGCCATTTTCCCATTGCAATTTTCAGAAAATCACTTATAACTTTTGAATAAGGTATCAGATCGGGGTGAAACTTTGGCATCTGGTTGCGATCTCTATAGCGCTATTTTCGGCTGGAGAACGAGCGTTCGGCGATGCCTAGTTTATTTTTGCGGTAAAAAAGGCCTTGTAAATTTTCGTTTGTGACACCCTGTATATTGTCGAGTCATCATGCACACATAGCAGGCGAACCAAAGAGAATAAATTTCATTTGTTTATATTGGTGAGAAAATGCAAACATACAGGAAAACGCAAGGACAGTCTTAATCAATCACCCAATCAATGTTTTGTGACTGATTGATTGATTGATTGATTGGTTGATTGATTGATTGTGATCTGATATAGAAAAGTAAACGATAATGATGTCAAAATTAGTTCCATATTGACCACTGATGAATTACCACGACGAATTATCAGGGCCGTCCACTTTACTTTCAAACCTGCTCCTATATCCAGGTGCACCGGCCCGAGATATTCGTGATTAGAAATAGTTTATGACTGGCATGCACTCAAGAATAGTAACTGTCACAGATCGCAGAGCGGGTGTGGGTGTTGGGAGCATACACTCATAATCACGGGACTTATTGAACCTGACATTGAAACAAATTAGTGTTCTTAATTGTATGAACTCTCTCTCTCTCTCCCCCCTCTTTCTCCTTTTCTTCGTCTTATAGGAGCTTCTCCCCTGCTAACCAACGTAACTCGACACTATTCACTTTGATAATACTGCTGCATTTTATGGTGATCTCTAACTGGTGAAGCGTTGTGATTGATGTTTGTCAATTGTCAAGAGAAGACAAGCTACCATCATAACAGATTCACAGATAATGTCAATCAAGGTGCGGACTAGCGGTATAATAGGCCACACGAGCTATGTCACTTGCACGACGATCGAAAGTAAAATAAACGCCGCTCGAGTTCGGCCCATTGTACCGCTCTAAAGATACCGCTATATGTCCCACCAAACTTCACTTCACGGCGCCCATCGGGAAGGCAGCCTGTTTCAGTCTAAAGAGGCAAATTAGTCGTTCGTTATTTATATTGTTTATGCACCGCGAAGTTTAGTTTGCAAGATACTTGGCGACATTGCTACCCACACCAAAAATGTATCCAGTGCAGTACGACCCGCACGACTGCTAGACCCTGTGTCACTCTCTCCATGGCCATTTCGAAAGGAAGTTGAAAAACCAAACAAATGACCAGACAGACGGCGGCAACCAGACAACTGGCAAGCCGGTTGTCTGGTTGCCGCCATTTTTTATAGATGGCGGTAGCTGTCCAGAGTTATGTGTCATCATTTGTTTGCTGACGGACACGATCTTGGGGAAAGTAGCCTTTAACAGCTCCGCTGTAAAAATACGTGGTGCTTTAAATGGAGCTTCTGGACGAGGGTAAGGGCTCAATGTTGCAGTTCACGAGGATGAAGAGCGTTAGGCCTAGAGCAGCGGTCTACGCGTCGGTGGTCTTCGCGGGGGGTTTTGTGCGTGCCCTGCTTGCAGACGATCCGGCCGAGTTTCCAGCGATGCAGGGAGTCCAGCACCCTCGTGGTGCTGCTCCAGGGGTTGGCGCCGGTGTTGGCCGGGCGGCGGTCTTTGCGAAAGCGGACCTTGCCTTGAAGCCTCCCAGTTTGCTGTCGAGCTTGTAACCGAGCAACGTGAGCACCCTGCCGATCGAAAACACGGTGTGTGCCACTGGTCCGGCTGGCTCTCTGGCGATGGGAAAAACACGTCTTACGCACCTGGCTTCACTTTTGTGGGGTTAATTTCAGGGGGTTAAGGTCACTTTTATGGGGTTAAGGTTAATCAACCACGTAGTGAGGCTCGTTTATCAAGATTTATCAATCTCATAGCACTTTGTCACGTGTCACGCCGTGGCGCTGTAAACTCAGCTCGAGCTTTCAACGAATCTGCATTGAGGTGGTGCATATTTTACCTGGTAGTATTTCAAGGTGTGACTCCTTTTCTGGGAAAGAATCAACAGACTTGTCAGGGTCAACGTTGAATGAGTTCGCTGGTGACCAAGTTAGCGATGGTCGTAACTTGTGGCGCCATCTCCCGAAAGGCGCAGCAAGCGGACGACAGAGTGCGTCGTCTGCTCGCAGCAGTTATCAATTAGCAAATTTATAGGTGTAACAAGTTGAGAAATTTGCTACAGATAACAAATGTGAGAAAAAAGCGATGTGATTAAACCCGTTGTTTACATGATACGGGGTTAACCGAGTAACGTAGAAATCCGAAAATGAAACATTTGCAACCAGCATATGTCATCTCTTCAATCCATTACGCCACTTATATTCTTTTCTCCAAGAGCGGTTTTTTTTTTTTTTTTTTATCAATTTGGGCATAAACTAGACTGCAACTCAAGTTCCCAAGCCCTTACATTCATCTTAATGAATTCTATGGTGGAGCCTATGTACTTCTTTTTTTCTTTAATATTTGTTTTATTAGAAACTCACAACGTTCACTCTATTCATTTCTTACTTTGGAGATGCGGGCGTTTTGTGAAATGAGACCACATGTTTGACAAGAGTCAGCGATTAGTTTTCGTTTGCAAGCCGAGAGTATACAGACGGGCGATAAAACGAAACAACGAACCAGCTTCATTTGTCAATTTGAACATGTGGGCTTAGAGCTGAGATAAAACCGCCCGGTTTAAACAACGGTCACCCGTTAGCTCCAAAATGGCCCCCACAATGCAGACGGCATCCTTGATAGCGTGTGTTCTCGTCTGCTGCTTAGTGGGGCCCACTTTGACTGCTGACAACGACGCGTGTGTCCAGCAGTACCGTGCTTGCGAGCAGGAATGTATTTCAGGGGCCGAGACGGCACCAGATATGTACAACTGCTCCACAGTCTGCGATGCGAAGTACAACTGCGACCTTCCAAGTAAGCAATGTGACATCCGCTGCGCTGCACTACACAACGTCCGATCATGTGGCGGCTAGGTGGCGCTAGCCGCCGCCCGATCGAAGGGGTAGAGCAATATATATCCCCCTATCCGTTTGTTAAAGCGGTTACGTATATACAGGGTGATTCGAGGAAACGCCAGGCTCTTTAAATCGACCGCAAAATTCGGTTTCTTAACCTATCACGCTACGACTTTGTGCAGCGTTGCCCACAGATGGGGCATTTTTTTGTCAAATTTGCAAAGAGCGAACTTACGTGAGGAAAAAGTAAACAAAGAAAAAGGCTTAGCTCCTATGGACATGCAGCGACGCCATCGGTCTTCAAACAGCACGGCGCCGTTTCGCACGGGAGCACGGGAGACAAGAGATGGCGCAAGCGGTCGCGACGCCAACTGCCGCCAACGAACAAGCATACGACGCCGAGAGCCGGCGTCTTTAGCAGACAAGGAACTGCACTTCCTTGTTGTTACCGCGCCTGTTTTTGTTTCTGCGACTGTCGCCGCCTGCGGAACGTGCGCCGCTTTTGAGTCGGAAAGATTGTCCACTAAAAACGCCGGCTCTCGGCGCCGTATGCTCGTTCGTCGGTGGCGTTCGTTGCGCCATCTCTTGTCCCCCGTGCGAAACGGCGCCGTGTTGTTTGAAGACCGGTGGCGTCGCTGCGTTTCCATACGAGGTAAGCCTTTTTTCTTTCTTTACTTTTTCCTCGGGTAAGTTCGCTTCGATTGGAAGGATGGTGGGTAGACACCGAGGCAGCTTGCTTTGAGGTCTACCCTCTATCCTTCCAACCAGAGGCAATGAGAGCTCGGCGTCTTTATGACGTCACCACAAAACATCCTCTGCAGAAGAAGCGAACTTGCGTTCCGTATAGCACTGCCGGCGCGGTCGCATACACCCGCAACGTGCGAAACAATTTAGCTGTAAATTTCGGAACTGACGGCACGTCCTTGTCGCTCTCTCGTCGTTGGTCCACGCAGGTTGCAACAAGCAGTTGGACGAAGAAGTCTGCCTCCTGTACGCCGGATTCGAACGGACCTGCTACGTGGACGCCCAGTGCGCCATCCAGAGCCGCTGCTGCCTGGGCGGCTACATGAACTGCGAGTCGAAATGCGAGGGACCCGACACGCCGGACGAAGACGCACCTCCGACACCGTAGCCACGGCGACAAGTTCGGCAATAAAGATTCTTTTTGTGAGCGGCCCGATCACATGCGGTGCATGCAACCTCTTTCCAGGGAGAGCATAATACATCGTACAGACTGCCAGTCTGCAGGCACTTTGTGAGGCCCCGGGCCCGTTTCTCCCTCGCACGACTGTCCGGTCACATAGGTCATACGAAAACCGCCTACATGCAGATGCGTTCGAAGCAAGCGTACGTACGAAGTCCTTGAGCCGTGTCTGCTCATATTTCCGTTGTCATTAAACTGAGGCTAGGTGGCGCAAGCTACCGCCCGTTAAAAAGGGTATAGGTATTAACATTCATGCGTCCGTCCACGTCTGCAGCGAACGCCGAGTCTTTTGTATGATGTACGAGCAGTGCGACAGCGGCGTTGGGTACACTCTGAAGAAAAAAGGGTGTATCGTTACACCCTTTGTCCCATGTAATACACTCTAAAACTTCATTTCGGCGTACAGAGCCCTACAGTCGAACAGACGGCCCCAAATTTTACGAGGGGCTTGATAACGGTGCGATATAACTTTTTGAAAAGCTAAAGTACGTATCAAAGACCACAGAAAGAAAACACACTTTTTACAGTAGAGAAAAAAAAACGATTTTTTTTTTTTTTTGTTAGTCAGTAAAATGTCGTCTGTTCGACTGTAGGGCGCTGTACGTTGAATTGAAGTTTGGGGGTGTATACTATGGGACAAAGGGTGTAACGATATACCCTTTTACACCCTTTTTTCTTGAGAGTGTAGAGTTACTGTGTGGTACTATATATGACTCCTGGAGCGTGTCTCCGACTGGGTATACGCTTAGCTCGTCCGCAAAAGCGGTCCCTCGATTTCCGCCTGATCGCGTCATGAAGGCGTCATACAAGTGTCGCATCTTGCTACGAGGCTTCAACCTGAAGACGCCACACTTCAGTACCAAACGTCGGCTGTTAACTCTGAAACTTCCAGGAACGCTCTTCTCGAAATGGTCCCTAGACCAGTATGGTGCCTGGAACGCGTCTCTCGCGACTGGTGTGTTTACCGCTCAGTCAAAAGTGCAGTACCCCGAGTTCCGCCTTATGACATCCTATAAGTGCCATGATGTGATTATAATGCAATTAAATGCAAAGGTGCAAGCGGTCCTGGCGGTGGCGCCTCGGCAGAGGTGGACGCGGCGGATGCCTGCTCTGCTGCAGCGAGTCGCTTTGAAGCCAGACAGCCAATGGAAACAAAACCAGACGGGTGTTGGGGACGCCGCAACGACGCTAACCCTCGTGTCCGCTCGCTACTTTTCTTTTTCTTTTCTTTTTTGTCACTTTTACAATTAACCGCCGTGATCGCGACATCCAACAGCATGACAGAGAGAAGAATTGGTATTAAAGCTGATTTGCTACTTCGCGAAAAGAAAAATAAAGGAAAGAGGGGAGTGGGGTTGTGAATTACAGCGTGGGCGAAATGGATTGAAAGCACTTTAAACTGACCGCATAAATCGGTTTCTTAACTTGTCGCGCTGGGACTCACTATAGAGGTGCCTCAAGTTGGTGGAATATTTCGCTAAATCGTGGAAAGATTGCCTCACCGCAGTACATCGAGAAAAATCGAAAACTATGTTTTCTCTATACTTTGCGTGTATACACTGAAAAATTATGTTATGTGTTACTGCGGCGCTTATGTGAGCCAAATGAAGTAAAAAATAAGTAAGCCAATTTTTTTTTTCATTGTTAAAATTTTTTAATTGTAGTAAACGCCAAAATAGCCCACAAAACTTTTCTGGTGATTTTGAGATATAAGGCTTAGCGATAATGTTTCCATAAACAAAACCAGTTTTCATTTTCGCTCTTTTGACTCCGGAGGTTTCATGTATTCATACTCTCAAATAATGAATGCACCAGCTTCGAGCACCTCTATACGAAATCCCAGCGTGATAAGTTAAGAAACCGATTTATGCGGTCAGTTTAAAGTGCGTTTAATCCATTTCGCCCACGCTGTAGAACGAACTAATGGGAGAAAAGCTTAAAATAGAAGAGATAGTATTCAAACAGAAATCGAGTATACGCTATTTACATTCAAGCTTAAAGTGTCTTAAAAAAAATATCGAGTACTAAAGTAAGATAATTAATCGGTGCTTTCATGACCTTCTGTCCAACTTCGGAGTTGGCCAAGGCCCAAGAAGATAATGCAGTGGAATTCCTTCAGTTGTATCTCCATCGTGCGGTTGCATAACAGATGGTTGCTGCCTTGGAATGAAGAGTACGAAGAGCATATCCATGATTCCTCTTTGCCGCTCAAAAGGATGTCTTTTTTTAATGTACGTTGCATTGCTTTTCAAGCCGATGCGCGGAAATTAATTTTGATATGCTTTAGCTTCTATCGCAGTAATTACCTTTTCTAGTGGTAAGAAAAGCAAATTTTTGATGCAATTTAATTGCAAAGCGGAGGTTAGCAACCCCAAACATTTTCCAGTTGCGTTTTCTTTAGAAGTCAGTCTTCAAAATACGCGCCTTTCCCCCCTCCAGCGATTGTTTGCGATCTACTACATCAGATGGCGGTGCTGTCATAAACAAAAAATTGATATAGGTTACGACAACGTCATCAGATGGCGCCACATGTTTCGTAGCGAGCGTTCGCAACGTTCTGTGCGCGCTTTTCGTGTATAGAATATAGTTTTCAATACTCAAATCAGATGGCGCAAGCTTACACACCGCAGCCTACCGCAGCGTTGCTCCTATTTTGACCAACCTCCGATAGATGGCGAGTGCGGCGTTGCCGATGTTTCTGCCACCTGCCACCGATGCGGCTTTAGCACGCGGTGTTTTTCGTCTGCTTTGCCGGCTCGTCAGTCGGCGATCGGACGCCGGAGTCGTCGTATTACTTAATTCAGTGTCCTGTGATTCGTCCGTTTTGATATGTAGGTGCGCGAACCATCTTCGAATCGGAGAACCCTCCGGATTAATTTGACATCAGTGGTGGTGGTGTTCGGCATCTCGATGGACTACGGCTGGACTTGGACATGATTCCGTTATCGTCTGCTATCCGAATCGCTCCAATCGTGAGTTTAGCAGACTACAGGATTTGACCCCTGTGAGCGCGCCCTTCGTCGCATTTTAGGATTTATTTTTTATCGTTTATTTTTAGTTGCGTCAAAATTCATTTCGCTTTCACTTCGCCCGTAATATTATAATTTATACTGTTTTACCGTTTAACTAATTTATTAGCCTCGATTTATATCGTGCTTGCGGCTGCTTACATACTGGTTGTGCCACTGAATCACAGTTTTTCTAAAGCCTCTTATTACTGCGGATTAGTCTAGCTGCCCCAAAATTTCAAGATTTCATAAATTTTCATCTCGATTTCTCGGAAGGTTGGGTCTGTTTAGTACGCCATATTTATTGATTAGAAATCAATATATGTCATTTCTGCCGATTCTGTTTCATGCGATCTGTTTCCAGCCTTCACACTACCACCTTCCATACTCCTCGATAAAATAAGGTTCGTGTGTTTACAAACAAGCACTAAATACGTCCGTGCAAAGAGTCGCGCGCCGGGCAACCGCCCGGGAATAAATTAAGCTCAAGTCCTCAAAACAGTTTTTTGGATTTTGGATCCGGTAGTCTTTCCCTCAATTCGGCGCTCCCAGCTTTGACAAGCGGGAAGAACAAGAGAGTCTCGGGGAATCTTTATCAGTCAATATCGGAGATTAAACTCGACCTTCGCTGCTCCCCGGATAAGATTAGCCGACGACGGACGACAAAATATCGTATTTAGCGAAGACGTCGGCCAGCAGAGGAGGGTTCTTGCCCCATAAAGATGTCGCCGACACCTCTCAGCTACTACCAACACCGGCGGACCTACGACCAACTGCTCCAAGAGGGCCGCGGTACCGCGGCAACGACGCTCATTCATCTTGATCCGCGGAACCTGCTGGATTAGACTCGGATTGAGTAGCGGATTAGACGATGGCTGCGTCTGACGAAGACTTCTTCGACGACCGCAGTCGGTGAACGCCCGGCGCTGGCTGAGGGTTGTGGTTGGTGATGTCCCGCTCGACGAAGATGATGGTGATCATGACGATGGTGCAGACGACGACGATGTTATTGTTCCTCGGCGGTGTCATCGTATGAAACTGACGATGGCTTTTGGTGTGTGTTAGTTAGGAGAAGGAGAGTGGGGTGTTGATCCGCATCATCATGCGCGATCGGCGCAAGACTGTGAACTGCTGGACAGCGACCGGTCGCTGCAAGTCCCGGTCGCCCGCCGCCATCTTGGTGGTCCTAGTCTTGGAGGTATCGTCGCTACTGCCGTCGCCCGCGGGAGCTGTTCCGGCCTATGACAATGGTGAGTGACTTTCGATTCGCGGTGACTATGACATGATGACGGGAGTATCTGCGAACGCGCCTCAATCATGTTCGATCATGTTTGCTTCGTACATGCTCGAACATGTCTGCATACCCTTTTTTTTTTTTGCATGGTCAATGTGGCAGGTTTGTCATACAAGGTAAAAGGCGCGTCTCCGGCAGTATCTACAGACTGTATTTTGTAGGATGGTGTTAGCACAGTGAACGCGGCTTACGAGTCATTATTGAGGCTGTAGCTAGAATGGTATAAGTTTGTCTTGGGTGTTTCCACATCAAACCGTATAACGATATAGTCCAAGTTTTTCTTTGTTTTTACAGCAGAGCTGTTAAGGGCTAGTTTCCCCAGTTTCGTGTCCGTCATCAAATAAATGTCGACACAAAACTCTGGACAGCTACTGCCATCTATGAGCGACGGCGGCAACCTTTCCACTCTGGTTTTAAACAGAGTGGAAAGGCTGAATTTCTCTAGGCGTCGTCCTAGAAACCGTTCTCGAGGACGATGTCCTTCCTCTAGGCGTCTTAGAAGTCCTCGTCGTCCTAGAGGTCGTCCAAAAAGTCGTTCTTGAGGTCGTCCCACCATAGTACAGCTTCGCTGGTCTTCCTTCTTCACCAGAATTAAAAGGCTGAAAGATTTTTTTTTTTATCGAAAAAATATGCTTGAATGCCATAGTTTTGGCAAGATCATTCAGCTATATTTCAACGCTGTATAGATCATTTTCTTCTGGAGATGTAAATATTTTCGAAGCTGGATGCATGGAGATTGCCAAGGTTTCACTGTGCGTACTTTGCACAGCCGTAAATATCGCACTGACGCATGCACTTAGTAATATTTTTGTACTTCTTTTATTAAAGGTTTCCGACATGTACAGAGAATAATAAAAACTCCGATAAAAATATTTTGTGCAAAAGAAGCTACGAAACACGTCGAGTAAAACAGGTTTTAGAGATACGTTCGCAAATTATTTACCAACCAACCACTTCATATAAAATGGCTAAAGATATATAAAAATTAGTATCTTTAAGGGTTTTTTAGAAATATATAAAAATGCATATATAATAAACCATTACTGTAGTTGTGTTATTCGTGCGGAAACGCAGCTGATTTCTCTTAATGTGTCAAAAATTGCACGTCACTATTTAAAAAAAAAAATCTTTTATTTATTTTAAACTTTCCTTCACCGTTTGCAGTGTCTCGAACTAACTTGTGATGGCAAAACATCGAGAAGCATATAAACTCCCGATAAGAAAAAAAAAAAAAAAAAAAAAAACACAGCGAGACTTTACTTAAATCGGGATAGATTGTCTTCGTTATATACAGGGGCTTTGCCGCACGGCGTCGGCTAGAAAAAAACATTTTCTCGAACCAACAAAGGCTGAAAAAAAGTAATTACTAACCTCATTGTATCAAAACAATGTTCTCTTTTTCTAAATTGGCCCTTTGGCAGGGATAGAGCGCAGCACAGCTGTGCAGCCTTTGTCGGTTTTAGAAAATGCGTCTTTGTAGCCAACGTCGTGCGGTAAAGCCCTTAGACAAGCTATAGCTCAATTTAAATAATGTATTGTTATCGCCGTTTCTTTTTAGGGGAGGGGGAGTTATGTGGTGCTTAATGTTCTGCCATCACAAGTTAGTTTAAAACACTGCAGACGATTAAGGAGAATTTAAAACAAAAATAGAAGGTGGAACTTTTTTTTAATATTGATGCGGCATTTTGCAACATTTCGAGAAATCGTGTGCGTTTCTGCATTAAAAACACAACTAAAGTAATGGCTGAGCATATTTTTTAAAATATATATATTCGTTAAATGTATTTAAATATGCCCACTTTAATACATTTTTCCGCCATTTTATAAAACTAGTTTGATGGTAAATAATTTGGGAATGTCTCTAAAACGTGTTTACCTGACGTGTTTCGTAGTTTTCTTTTTTTGCCTATAGGCATTTGCTTTTTTAGTTTTAATTATTATTCGTACATGTTGCAAACCTTTGCTAACGTAAGCAGTAAAAATTATTACTACTTGCATGTTTTTGTGAGAAATTTGACGGCTGTGCAAAGTGTCAATTGTGAAGGCCCTGGAAATATCCATGCCTCGAGCTTAGAACTTTCATATCTCCGGAATAAAACTAACTACGGCTTTTATATACAGCTAAATGATCCTCCCATAAAAGTGGCTTTCGTATATAAATATATTCTTTTTAAATGAGTATAAAAACATATCACCCAGATCATCACTGTGCGATCTGATGTGGAAGGCCCAGGCACGATGCAGCTTGGGTGCACACCTGCAGCCTACCCGTATATCTGTCGCAAAATAACCTTGTGTATGGCTTCCTCCCAGTGACGTCACAAGGGGGAAAAGGGAAGGACCGCCCCGGGTGCAGCACTCGGGGGGGGTGTCGCGGCGGGCCACGAGAGGGGGGGGGGGGGAGGGGTGTCGCGGCGGGTTACCGCGCTGACCCTCGTGACGCCACTGCTTCCTCCTCCATAAGAACTTCGAACGTGCACGAACGGAAGCATGACTTGCCAACGTTCAATTAATAAAACACTTCATTATCGTGGCGACTGCACACTCAGCATCATAGTTCCTAAACCAAAAGGAGGACAGAATGCGACACCGTTAGCACAAACGAGCGATTGACAGCAATTTCTTTATACCTGAAATGTGTTTTTTTTTATATAATATTTAACGGTGCGATAGAATGTGCTTATCCTCGGCACTAATTTGCATAGAAATCTGACGCTCATCAGTCCCTGTCGGCTGTCGAATTCTGTCCCGACAGGGACAGAATTCGAGAAAGTGTGGATGTCATCTTTGTGCTGTGTCGTGTTGCGCAGTGGACCTCCTCTTGTTGAGGAGGTGGCTTTCTAGAACGTCCATCACATCGTGAGTGTCAAATAATATCTCAAACATTTTCCTAGCGAGAGAGTGTGTAATGCAAAATTGTTAAAGACCTAATGCTCTCAGTTCTTCCCGCAGCTCAGATTGCATAAATACGCGTCGAAATCTACCGATAGCTCCATTTTTCTTCCTTTTTCTGGCGCCAGTAAGTCTCAGAGAAACTGTGCACGTTTATAGAACTTCAAAGATGAAACACATACCTCCACTCCGATGAACTTCTCGTTCTTCGGGTGCTTACGGGTTTTATAACAAAGTAGTGTTGTTGTTTTTTTTTTTAGCACCTGCACGGTTTGTTTTTTCTGCATGCCCGTTGGGTTTAGGAGACACCTTTTAAAGCGTAAGTGTGGCGTTGGAATGTATCCGTTCCTTTGAGAACAGGTTCTTCTATAATCTGCGGCGCTGGACGAAGGCGGTTTTATATGTATCTACTCTTACGTTACAGTAGAGTCCCACAAAAAGTTTTAGTAGATCATTCCGCTACCTCCGATAACGGTGTCCGTTAACGATACGCTGCGTGTGCAAAGGCGACGGAGGGGTAGGGGTATCTTTATCGGAGTCATGGGAACGATCTTTACCAAAAACTCCCTAATTACGGTTGCTCCGGTCATTAAAACAATTTGTCAGTCAGTGCTTTGGGAGGAGTCATAAAAAAGTAGTACCAAAATCTTGCTTAAAAAAAAAAAACACAAATCAGCTTTAAGATAAAAAATAAACAGAACCAGACGAAACAATCTACGTAGTTTGTTTCATACATTCTTTTTTTATTATTATTATTATTGAACGTCCCAATGATATATAGTAGCATTGTTTTCTTTCTTCTTTCGCATTTGACATGAAAAAGGCGTAACCTCAAAAAGGTCGAAAGAAAAATTTCAGTTTTCTTTTATTTGTGGTTTTTCATCGATGCAGGTGCTTAATTCAATCTTTTTTACACACAAGAGAAGATGCATCACCCGTAGCCCCAGCTTCGTATGCAAATAGCGCGATCCCAGCGAGCGCAACTGCATAATTACCGCGATTTATCCGAGAGGGGGTTCAGTCCGTCTGGCCCACACTGTGTATACGCGCGCGTTTACACTAACAAGGCCGCACACAATAACGTATTCGTACCAACGGGTCGAATAAAAACGTCGGAATCAAACAAAGCGACATCAACATTCATGAATCGCCGAGCCCTCTACCTCCTGCAGACCGAAGTCTTTAACACGAATAGAGATTTTGTTTTTTCCCCTCGCTTGTTTTCGCTCAAAGAAGACAATGGCAGCTTCCAGCCAAACGGACGACACCGCACGGATAAGTGACGATGCACGCTTTATTGTGTCAAGTAGCGACACCTATACGATGGCGCTGACGAAACCGACGTCCATTGTTCGAGCTCGGACCTCGTTCCGTGGTCACTGCGGCTACGATATAACCGCGTGAACTGGTGCGGTCTGCAACTATGCGTTGGTCCTCTTTCTCGTCAAGGAGCTTTTAACGCCGCGCGTGACATACAATGAGGACTTTTAGTACCGAGTACAGTGTTGTACCGATCCACATCGGATTGGCGATGACGATGCGGACAGAACTCGCGTTGGTGACACCTGCGGAGTTTACAGAGACACGATGCGTGTAAAACACGTTCCTCGGATGAAAAAGAAAAGAAAAAAGTAACTCAGATTGCATTACTCGTTACTCAGTAAAGATGTGCCTAGTGTGATACTCGTTCCTGTTTGGGGAAAAGTAATCGGATCGTACTTATACTTAACCGAAATGCAAGTATCGCGTTACATACGTGCTTGAGTGTGACTGTGCAGAGCAATGAACTGATGCGAATGAAAAAGAAAAAAAAACTAAACAAAGGTCAGTTCTGTCATGACTTCTCCCAGCACAACGCTATCTAAAGGCGCCTGTACCGTTGCCAGCAATAGCTGCATGTATAAAAAAAAAACGGTTATGTTTTGTTTTTGTTTCAAGAACGTGCAACTCCCATAAAAAAAGAAAAAAAAAAAAAAACAGCCAACGGGCCTCTGTTAGTCACTACTTCTGGCTTCTCTCGAGGTGATGGAGCGCCTCCAAATGGCATCGGCATTCGTGTTTACA